TCAGAGTGGAGTCAACACAACTAAAAATGGGAGGGTTGAAAAGAGGTTTGGGATCAGGGCCCCAGAGAGAAACAATATTGTGTCTGTCCAAAGATAAATCCAAAAGTATTACTACAAAATCAGATACCTTTATTGAACAAAACATATCAAAATGTGAAGCTATTGTTTCTTGAGATAATCCCTATCTAGTCTACACACTTCTGAGGGGCAGTGTTTCCATCCTTCTCACCCTTCCCTGATGGATTTTGCACTTTGACTTATGCAAATGGCAGTTTTGGTATCCTCAGAGAGCTCAAGTACTGTTCCTTTTAAACGTTCTTAAAGCTTGGGGAACAAAATGACATCTGAAGGAGCAAAATTGGGCTGTAGGGGGAATGGGGTAAGGTTTCCCAGCAAAATTCTCACAGGCAAGCGCTTGCTACCCTAGAAGAATGAGCAGGTGTATGTATTGTCAGGAAGGAAACATTCCTCAGCACAACCTCCCTGACCTTTTCTCTTACCACCACGGTGTTTCATGTTCTTTTAAAATCTTTGTAGTAAGCCCCTTGACCACCTGTGCTTTGAGAAATCGTATCAGGATTACTCTTTTGGAATCCCCAAGAAACACTCTCCATCACCTGTGAGTGACCTCTCTGCCTTGATTTGAACAAGCTAGCAGATCCCCTCAGAAGCCCCTCTTGACTGGACCTTGTTTCTGAAGGCCTCTTAATGAGACCAAGAGAATTGATTTATCAGATCACAAAGACAGATTTAAACTCATTTTGCTCGGAATAAACCTGTGCAGGTATGAATACCACTTTTTGACTTAGCCTCATATACTATAAGGGTGAGTAGAGGCTGGGAAGAAACAACCAAACAACCAAGCAGATAGCTATCTCCGTTCAGAAAGTACTAGCAAACAACTGTCTTTACTTCTAGGTGGGACAGTTTACTTAGGAGATGGCAAGAGGAGGGAAATTTACCTTTAGGTCTTTATCTTTTTGTTTTGTTTGGAAATTTCAAATGCAAAGCATTCATTTCTTTTTCATTTGAATTCTTAAGTTTCTTTTGTTTACAATTTTGGAAAAATATACCCCAACCATTCAGGAAACATTTGCCTGGGATGTGGGACTTCTCGCTTTAAAAGCTGCCAGATTTCATGTAGTACAGAGAGGAGGAGGAAAGGGAAACAGGGAGTTTTTTAGAGGCCAGAAGGGAGCAAAGAAGACAATTGACAATGACAGGAAGAGAGGCCGAAAGGACACCTGTGTCACAGCATTCAGAGAGGAGAATGTCCCTGT